CGGGGAACCGCTGCTCTTCCAGTACTCCCAGCAGCTCGTCAAATACCAGTTTCCACAAGGCTGGACCTAGTACAGACCCTTGTGGGCATCCTCTTTCTACAGAATCCTCTACAGCAAAGAAGTTACCTTTTATCATTAATTTACGGTCTTCTAGATAGCTTCTTAAGAGGTCGTACAGGTTGCTGGGAGCTTCATACTTTTGCAACTGCTGGAGTACACTCGGCCACCAAACGCTATCGAAGGCGGAGGATATATCAAACAGGAGAAGCATTACATACTTCTCCGCCTTCTCTTCAACGTCACGGCGCACTCTGAGCAGAGCATCTGCGGTTCCCCTACCTTTAGTGCATCCGTACTGTCGTGGATGGCTAGCTCTTAAGAAGACTGGTCGTAGCCTCCTCATCAGCAAGGTCTCCAACAATTTACTCATTATAGGAAGGAGACATATAGGCCTATATGACGTCGCTAACTGCTTGTCCTTATCTCCTCCCTTATAAAGGAGTCTAACATCAGCAATCTTCCATATTTTAGGGAAGTAACCCCTGTCTAGGCAATCATTGAACAATGCTAACAGCCTTTGTTCAATGTAGGGGATACTATTCCTTAGTATTGCTGTGTCTATCGAATCCAAGCCAGGAGCTCGACCAGTCCTTTGCCTATCCACGGCAGCACGGAGATCCCATATGTCCCATGGTGGGCATAGGTCCGTACCTGGTGGGCATACCGTAGTGCGTCTAATGTATCTCTCCTCTTCATTATCTTGGGACGGATCATCCCTGGGGTAGGTTTCCGCAATGAACGTTTTTGCCGTCTCCTCCAGAGTGGTTGCCTGAGTAGCTCCGCGTTTCAATGCGGCTATTACCTGTTGTGGATTTAACTTACCCAAGGCAACTCTGTAAGGGATACCCCAGGGGTTTTTGGACGATTCTTCAATAATGAACTCGTCCCAAGACTTCCTTTTTCGAGAGCGCACTTCGTTTCGGTATGTTCTGGACTTGGATCTATACTCGTCGCGAAGTGTGGCGCGCCTCTCCTCACTACCACACTTTTGATAGGACCGCCGGGCCTTGTAGAGCTCTCTCTTCATAGCAGTTAAGGCCGGCGTCCACCATGGGATAGGTCGAGCTCTCACCTTCCGTTGCTGGAGGGATTCCTCAGCGGCGTCACGGATGACATCTGTGATCCTAGAGACCCTATAATCTAGACTATCTGTCTGGTCCGTCTCCGCTTCATCCCATTCTTCATCTACTAATTTTTCCTCCAGCGTTGACCGGAAGGCTTTCCAATTTGCCCTTCGGGTTAAATAACCCATAGCGATGCCGTGGGAACGTTCCATATTTTCCACCAGCTTAAAAGCTATCGCTTGGTGGTCGGAACTCGTTTCAGATCGGAGGATCCAATCGTTGATGCGACTCGCTAGCACCGGTGATGCCAAAGTTACATCAATCCAGCTCTGCCCTCGAGCGCTAGAAAACGTTGGCAAGGCAGAGGGATCATTCATTACCACTAGCTGCCTTCGGCCAATGAATTCTCCGAGTTTAACGCCTCTTCTATTCGTTTGATTGGATCCCCAGACCGTGTTCCAGGAGTTGGTATCTGAGCAGATGATGATGTTTCTATAGCAAGCCGTGATCATCTCCATGGCGGATATGTCGTTGTCTATATCACCTCCGTCAGGAAAATATGATGAAACCAACGTAAAGGTAATATTACCCCATTTGATATAACATGCGACACAATCCGCCGTGGTAAACTGCCTCAGATCCATCACATCGAGGTTTGGGTTATTTACCACTATAGCTGCCCTGGGCCTCCTCTCTCCACTGCTCAGGGCTATAACTCTCGATGTGAGGCCAAACCCCGTGACCATGTTCCCACGGCAGCTCGGTTCTTGAATCGCCATAACATCATATCGTCCAACAAGAGCCCTCAACTCATCCGCTACAATGCGACGACGGCCCATGTTGAGCTGGAGAATGGTGATATTATTCATAGTAGGTCCTCTTAGCCACCTCATTTGACCATCTTAAGTGTACAGGGCACTCTCGGCTGCCCGCTTTATGCTTCGTTTGGCTTTGCGGTGCACTCGCCCGCACACAGTTAATACAAGTCGGGCCAGTTTGTTCCTTCTTCCTTGGACAGTCCTTGAGTATGTGTCCATTGGCTGCACACCATATGCATACAACGGTATCCACCGTACAGGTAGCCTTCGTGTGTCCATAGCCTTGGCACTTTGTGCAACGAGGGGCATCGAGGTAATCCTTAAACGTCATGGACCACCATCCTCCATCTAAAGCTGCCATTTCCAACAGCTGGAACCTCACCATTGGGTGAACTTCGAGTACCCAGTTCCTACTTAGTCCATTCCTAGATACTGAGGATAATAATGGCCGTATATCATCATTAATGAGTGTAGTAGGGACTGACTTCTCGTTTATTCTTCCCCACAAAAATCTCGTTAATTCAGCTGAGCCCCATGAGTGAGGGACACCCCTCACCTCAATCTTAGGTTTCTTTCTTTGTGCTAGTTTTGCCTGAAAACCTTTCTCCCGTAATCCCTGCCAACCAATTATTTTAGTGGCATGGGTACTGTCTTCTAATCGGACTAAAACGGAACCACCTTTGGTTGCTCGAACAATTTCAGCCTTAACACCTATTTCTGTGGGGGAAGGCAGGGCATTGATAATGTCCACCGGACTCTTACCGGTACCGCTAATAGTAATAAACGCCGGCTTGAGGGACTGAGTAGGTTTTAAAGGCAATTTTCGTACTATTTCGGCCAATGACTTCGGCTGATTTGGACCGGACCCAGTCAAAGATTCCGCCTCTGTCTTATGCGTTTCATTTTCAGTTTGTAGGCTTTCGGGACCGGTAGACTTTTTAGTCTTTTTCCTGTTTCTTTTGCTCTTAACGACTGTAAAAGGAACTGCGGCTGGTAAAGGCTCAGGCGGGGTCACGTTAGTCGCGGATGACTTTTCGTTGCTTTTTCCAGGGATGGCGAGGGCACCATTAGATTTTATAGTGGTTCCTGAGAGAGATTCTATAACCTTCGGCACTGTTTTCTCTATTACGATGCTGGTTATCATCGAATGTACTGAAGGCGAGGTAAGTGTTTCCTGAACCGCTTTATGGACAAGTAAAGATAAGCCCTCACTCTTATCTTTGTACTGCTTTGTCCTTTCCTCCAACGATTCAATAGCGTCAATGAACCACTGTATTTTGCCATTAATGTGGTTTTGGTCTTTATTTTTAATACTTTTGTCAGCTTTATTAAGGTATATTCGGAGGTTTTCTTGAATTATCTTTGCTTTTTGAAGGAAGTCATTTGAGATTCCTACCTCAGAAGCTTCTGTGTTATCACCAAGAGAAACCTTTCTCGCCCTTTTTGCGGTTGAACGTGAAACCCTTGGAGGGTCCCCTTCTTCCCTTTCATCTCCCTCCATGTTGTCTATAATATTACTCCTGGACAAGTCTTTAAAGAGTAGACACTTAATAACTTAAATAATATTTCTTATCACTTAACAGGTTATACTTACAAATTTATTTTTTTACACAGATTTAGTAAAGTTAATTTCAGTGTGCTCCCTGGGAAGGTCTTTTAGAGATCTTCTACTCAATATAACACTCGGAACTCAAAATTTTTCAAAGAAGAACTCCTTCACGAAATTTATACTACTTAACCTCTCCTGTCCAAACTTCAATCTATTTACACTATTTACACTTACAACTAATAACAACAATAAAAAACATGATAAAACACTAGAAAACAATAAGATGGCTATGAACAATTAGAACAAAACGAAAACACAAAACACTGCCTCAAAAGATAGCTCTTAGTAGATCGCAATTAATCACAATCGTCATTCTGTCATCTGAAAGATACGCATAGCTCACAGACTGAAGTTGTGTGGTTTTTGGAAACCACCCTTATCCATTTCCACACCACTACCCATATACCCCATTCCTACCCATTTTTCCCTACTCCACCATCTCGAGAGCCTGTGAAAAAAATCGACATTATCTGAAGAAAATTTTGAAATTGTTTTTTTTTAATACTTTTAACATTTATATTTATAAATGAGTGTATACCAGTCGGATCTTGCTACCTGTAAAAATGGCGGCTGATTCAGAGGATATTAGGTGAATAACTTGAAGATCCAAACGAAAATTCATTGCGAAAAATCTGGGAAACGTCTTTATTTTTTAACCTGTATGTATGGTTTTAGACATGCAAAAAACAAAATTGATAACACTTGTCACCAATGAAAAAGTTTTTTAAGCCAAAAAAGAAAGATCTTTCCGATATTTTTTTGTTTTTTTCATCTATAACCACTAAACACTGCATCGAAGAGAAAAATTTACTCTTTGAAAAATTATAGATCGTTAAATTTTGGGTCGAACAAGTTAAGCAAACTTAAGCAAACTTAATGATTTGGTTAAGTGGTATGGTCGACAACCATGGTCAACGAACCCTAATTTTTACTAATAATTAATAATTACTATAAATGAACCTGCAGGCTGGAAGTGAGTCATCTAAGATAAAAAAACTCATAGATTAAACTCGCTACCCACCCTCCCGCGCCCCCGGCTGGAGCGTTTCTCGGTTCTAGGGTCGATTCACGGCTGACATATCAGAACAGATATTTATCTGTCACAGCCGGACTCAAACATGATGCCTTGAGTCCTTGAAATCAGTGTCTTACGCAGAGAGAAAATTCACTATTTTATTATTTTTAAGTATACTGTATTGTATTTTTGGTCGTTTTAGATTAACTATGTTGATTTGTTCTTTGTAAATAAATTCATTTGTCCCAAAAAGAGACCATTTTACAAATAATTTTTATATAATGTATATATATATATATATATATATATATATATATTTTTTTTTTTTTTTTTTATGGTCCTTCGTGCCTCACCTTCCACCAGAATCCAAATGGACATTATTATTGTCGTATTAAATAATCATTTTTATATTACTATTATTATTTAATGCTTACCTAATGTCTTCTAGTAGTTCACATTCGTTTTGGTTCTTCAACTGCAGTTTAGCGATCTGCTCAGCATGTAAATTTTTCAGGAACTTGGCATTGTTCCCCTGAAATAGAAATAAGCAATTAGATCTTTTAAAGAATATATTTATTATATTGATGGTAGTTTAAATATTAATACAGATATCTGATTAAAATAAAATATTTTGTCCATCATGTCATTGTTCATGCACTGAATAGTGCAGTTACAATTAAAGTGATTGTACAAATCAATTAACTTTAGAATTAAGTTTTTTAATGAAAAAATCATATTTGCTATGATATACCGAATATATTACATTGCGCATGTAATAAATGACAACGAAGTAAATTTTATGATTGTGTATAATTTTTAAAGGTATTTTACAAAAAAATTTTCGGTTTATGCAAATACCAATGAGATATATAATTAATACAGTTATTTAAATAATATTATGATCAGATTAATGTTATTCTAAATTAATGTGATATTAAAATGTTTTTAAATACGATAAAAAATAAGTTGAACTTAATTTAGGGTAGATATATATTGTAAATATAAAATATGTGCACAGATTTTTAATTACCAAACTAACTAAACTAATTCCTCAAAAGTGATGAAAGTGTTTTTAAGACTTACAGATTCATATTAAGCTTATGGAAACATCTATAGGTGCATTTTATACTATAGTGCGAGTTTAGATGTCAAAGGAACATTTCCTTCCATATATTTAAATTTTTTTCTTCCTCAATACCAAAGGTAGGAAGCATTGTATTCGTAGGAAAGGTTAAAAAAAATGTGTGCTCAAGATCGAAATTTTCCGCTAGCGTTTTACGTTTGAGACTTCAAGGATCAAATTTGGTTCGGTGTCTGTCTGCCTGTCGGTCTGTAGTCAAATCGATGTGACGGGCATATCACCTATTACCGTTTATCTAATTTTCATGTAATATTTAGGGATTGTGAATGTTGGTGTCTGTATGATCCCATAACAATTTTATTTCCTACCAATTTATTTAAATTTAAATTTAAATTTATTTCCTATCAAATGAATTTTTCCTACTGATTTTTTGTTCCATCCCTTTCACGGATGAAAACATACTTATTAAGTATACATCACTAATGTTAGTGTAAAAGATCATATGTCAAAATTTTAAACTTTTATTCTGTCTGTGTTAAATGTGATATTTTGTAATTTGCAACTGATATAAGCAGTCTACTATGATGGAAAATAGCAAAGAGCAATAAAATATAAAATTATACTAATAAATCGTAAAAATAAAAAATAGTTTTTTATGTTCTCATCTAAAGCACTCAATTTTCGCATACATCAATCAATGGAATTTTTTGGTTTATTATTTTCAATAATGAACCATTGTAATCGAACAAAAAATTAAAAAAACTTAACCCCATCACGAAATTTGAGGTTTTGCGTTCCAGGATACTTAGAATTCGAAAAACGAATAATTTTTTTTTGTCCGTCCGCCATACGTCGTACGCCGAACCCCATCAGCGCATTTTCCCTGAAACTACTGAACCGAATTTTCTTAAATTTGGATTTAAAATTAGAGGTCAACCGAGGATGATCCTCCTTCATCGACATTACTATCCGCCTTTTCCTTTCAAGATGGTGACTGAAAAACCTGCGTTGCCATAGACTGTAGCGCCTAAACGAATGTACCGATTTCAATGAAACTTCGCTAAAGCCTTCTTCTCGATGTCCTTTAAATGTATCTATGTAACATACTTCAACGAAAGGAAGATGAAAAAAAAGTTACGAGGGATGGTAAAATTAGATTCTGAATAACTCAAAAAGTATACACTGGTTAGTGCATGGTTATCTAAAAGTTTACGGAATTTCCTAAAAAAAAAAAATCGTTAAAATCGGACAATTAGGAGCAAAGTTATGGTCTCTAGATGTTTTGGTTTATTATTTTCAATAATGAACCATTGTGATCGAACAAAAAAAAAAATCAAAAACTTAACCTCCTCTAAAACTTTGAGATTTTACGTTTCAGGATACGTAGAATTCAAAAAACGAATAACAATTTTTTTGTCCGTCCGCGCATTTTCTCCGAAACTACAGGACCGATCTTTTTATATGTTCTACTGCAAAATTTATATCCTTTGTTTTGGATTTTGATTTTTGAATGTGTTACTGAAGTAACGCTAATTTTTTTTAGCAAATTACTAATGAAAAAAAAAAAGTTTAGTCCAATAATTGGAATCACCTTTTATTTCTTTTTATTTCTAGGAAGGTGATGTTACTTTAGATGTATAATTGTTTGGAAATAATAAACCTTAATGATAAATCAAGAATCATCAAATATGCAATCTGCAAATGTGGAACTCTTGCATTTTAATATTTTCTGATGAACAAAACCCGTCGAAATTAAACCTGTATATGTTGAGAGATTACTGAATTTCCGAAAACGGCTTCACTCAGAGATTTTATTCTCGTACGAAAAATTTAATACTTAATACAGATATTTTTTAGTCAATGAAAAGGGTGTATTGGCGAAGAAGCTATACTGACTTAACTTGACAGGCTTTTTTCTTTTTGTAGTTTATTGAATGATAATACAATGTGCCATCGCGGAGGTTATAAGAGTTCATTCTTACGAAATATACAAAAACAGAAAAATAAATAAAAAATAATTTATTTTTTATAACTGGTTTTTTAAGAAATATTATAATCTGTCTCAATAAATATAAGTTTATAAAATTAAAATAAACAAATAAACAAAAAATATAATTAAATAAAAGTAATCTTCTTGTAAACATTCATACATACAATCTTGTGAATTTATTTATGTTTAGTTTACAGATCAGATACGTTTACAGTTGGTTACCTTCTTACTAAGTACTGAACTCAAGACCCTTCATGAGTTGTTGAGTTTTTTTTTGTTTTGTTTAGTTTTATTTGTAAAATAGTTTCATAAAAAAATTATTTTAATTAAACTAGATTTCGGTATCCAATTAAATTATATGAATTCAAGTAAATTTTATTTCGTTTCTCGTTTTTAATGTTTATCTTCTACATAGAGAAGTGCAATAATTTTATTGAAAATTCATGAAAAAAAAGTGAAAATAAAAAATTGTAAAATATAAAAAAGGGCGTTTGTGTTTTATATAGCTAGATCAGCATATGAACGCAGAGTAAAAATCTATGTCTCTTGAAGTGGCAGGATCAAGAGAAACTTCCAGCTATCATTTTAAATAAATAAAATTTCAATATAAAATTGTGAAATAGATTTCCATGGTATGACAGTTCTCTTTTACCTCGAATGTTAAGTGTGTTTCAAAAAACGTTTGAACTTCATCAAGCGTTTATGTCGCATCTTAATACCACATCCCATCGCTAACAGACCGAGTATCATGTTAAATCGAAGTGAAGTTACTTTTATTGATTTATATTTCGTAAATATTCTTCCACAGAAAATTCTCTAATAAACACCGAAATTATTATCTATATACATATACTTAAATAAAAAAAAAACATCAATCCTTAGGATTAATAAAATACTGCGGGTGATTTAATTATTTGGAATAAGTTTAAGTACAATACATTTCTTTAGTTATTTCTTCGGTATTATTATTTTTTTTAAGGAATAATTAATGTTCAATTAATACATATACGTATACAATACAATTAAAACTAGAAAAAGTTGAAAGAAAGCCCCGAATAACATGTATCCAGGGATACACTGCATTCTAAATCTTATAAAAATACTTCATGGAGTTGGAACGATGGCGCATTTTATCTGGTCGCCTGGCCATCCATATAGGCGTTAAAGGGGACGAAATAGCTGATAGAGCAGCAAAAGAAGCTCATACCCTTCCAGGCCGCGGTAAAGCTTTTTTGACACCATCTGAACTTGCACGACCTCTGATGGAAACCATATCCCAAGAATGGCTAAGACGGTGGGACAACTGCGGGAAATCAAGAAGAAATCCTTATCAAAGTTATGAAGTTGCTAGGCAATGAAAGACTAAAAAACAAACAAATATGATCTGTTTATAACTAATGATCCTTGGAAAATTCATTCATTTTTTTTTTAATTTTAAAAGTTCATTTTTTTTTAGTAATTTCAATTCATTTATTGATTTTACTGCTATTTTTTAAAAGTTTATTTATTTATCTATTCTATCTTATTATGTATAAGTTACTATTATTATGTTTATTTATTAATTTTATTCTATTAATCTTTTCATTTATTTTGTTTTATCCTTTTATTATTTTTTTTTTTGTACCAACCACCTAAACAGTATAAAAGTTGTGTATCGAAAAAAACCAACAACTAGAAAATAATAGAGATAAACCAAGTAACTTGTGAATGGAATTTTATTTGGTGTTTTCATTAAATTGAATTTGTGGTAGAACATTTTTTTTAATTGGCTTTGTTTAAATATTCATAAATTGACAAGACTAATATTTTTCACACATTTTTAAGGAAATTCAATCTGTAAAAATGAGTGCCGCCTTGGAAAAGGATTGCTTTCAGACAACTTCCCCCAAGACAACTCAAATAAAAGTGAGGCCATTAATCAGAATATCTGGCCTAGGCCAATCGGCTTTTCTCGGATTCATATTCCTCAACCTCCTGATCCCGCTGGGTTGAGGTAACAACTTTTCCAATATAGCTTTGACAAAACGTCTGTTCCTCCTTTTGAATCCGTTTTCTAATTACTGAGACCTTATGAGACTTATTTATATTTTGTTTAACTGGAGAAAAGTAATTTCTCAAAGTGTTGTATGCTAGAAACACCATTAAATACTGTTAAAATATATTATGAATTCACTTAGGTTTTTAGATCGCATTCAAAGTTGATGTAGATTATTAGTTTAAGACGAGGTAGATGGCAGTTAAAAGATAAAATTGTTAACTTGTAGTTATTTTACTTCGCTTATTTCAATTTCCTACATATTCTAAAATGTTGCGAAATAAATTTCTTTAGAAAATCGTTAGTACTATATTGTGAAAATTTTATATATTTTGACCAGAAAAAAATCACTGATTTTTACGACACAAAATCTCCGTTCGGTTGTTACTGGTTTCATCAACTGTTTATTTTCAAACTAATACCACT